TGTTACACTCGGTTAAAATATGTTCAGTTCTCTACAATGAGAACATTCGGGTTTGTTTAATAAAAGATGTTTATGAGTTATTCGAGTGTGACCCATCAGCAAGCGATTTAATATTACTTCTTGCTCTCGACTAATATTTAGGTTTTTATAAAATTCTGTAGATTGTTTAATGTCACGCAATTTATTTCATTTTCCCAATCATTTTGTCAGTGTAAATGCTGTTTATTATTGTCAATCGCATTTTTGATATCTGTGTAGGTAAGAGGGTTGTTTGTTGATTTAGCCACGTTGTCTGCTGTTTCATTACCCGAAATGGCCTGCTACCCAGCAGACATATTCTTTTAGGAGTCAATTGCTGTATGGGCTTAAAATCAAGGTTGGCAAGTTTTTGACACATGACGGTTTTTACCGGTTTATACCATGGTTTTTACCGTCATGTCAAAAACTGCCAAAAACCCATAGTTTTGATAAAACTGTATTGTGAGTTTAACTGCTTATGATTTAAAATTTATTCATTTTTGGGCAATAAAATTAGAAAAAAAGTTGTTAAAAGATATTTAAGAACAGATCTTTGCACTTTCCCAACATGATTATATCAAATCATACTATTTGAAGTAAAATATTAGGATACTAAACAAAATTTTCAACATTTCCAAGCATTATTTTGTTTGGCATATTACATTTCTGAAGAATGTCAAGTCATTCCTGACTTAGAGTTTGTTAGTAGTTACAAGTTTTGAAAGTTTTGTTTAGCTTATTTCTAATATTTAAGAAATGCCAAATTTTAAATTCTTCTTTTTAGTTCTAACTCCATTCTATTGATGTCAGTTTTAAATTAATTCAACTTCACAGGAACGAAAAATCTTCTTTTAAAAAAGAACAAATTCTATTTACTGCAAATTTTCAAACGCAGTCCATACTAATATCTAGTTATATCCTTGAGATTATGTCATAGTAATATTAATACTACTAGATAATAGTAATATTTAGTTCGTCTCCAATATCTCATTGTGCAGTCCTAGTGCGACGTCTGTAAAAGTACTATTACTATCTAGTTTTCCGACGTAAATTAAATACTACTATTATCATTTCAAACCTAAACAACC